TGAACCCAGCTAGAGTCTTCACACCATAGGTGTGACTTCCAGAACTTTCTCGTATGCAGCGTCTGAGGACTGAGTACAAATCCACTTGGTGGCATTCTGCCCATGGCCTGTAGACTGCTTCTAACTGGGCCCACGGTCACTAACAATGCCAATAATCCCACATCTAAATGGATTTCTTTGGGGATCGAGAGTCTTGGGTTTGAGACACAAGGGCATTCCTTACCTCTTGTCTAGCGTTGTCTTGAGTGGAGACTAAGCAGTCACAGGGCACAAATGGACACTGAGCTTGGGTGAGCCATCCACTGAGTACAGTGAGAAGGGCCGGGGCACGGTGCCACTCCACGGGCATTGTGGAATTGCAAAGCATTGGGCAGGGGGCTCTTAGAGAGTTCCTTACTGAGAGAAGCAGATTCTCCGAGAAACTACCTTCATCTGCAGATCTACATCTGTATATTGATATACCAATATCTGTATCTAGCTCTATCATCTGTATCTCCCTATAGAATTAGAGAGAAAGATGGTTCTATGCATATAGTCTTTTTAAAAAATGAAGACAATCTGTTTCCTTTTATATTATAATGAAAAGATTGATTTGCTTATATTTTTGCCAGTAAAAACTAAATTCTGTGAGGTTATGTCGTTTTCTTAAGATCCATCAATTTCCGAAACTGGTGAGAGATGGATGAGTTTTGTTGCCAGGGGATTTTACATCTGTTAGTCACCCCCAAAACCTTCGTGAGTTAAAGGTTAGCTTCTTCACCGTTTTCTAAAAATGTTTTTTATTGTTTGAAAATTTCATACATGTATATAATATATTTTGATCAAACCCGCCTCCCATTCTCTCCTTCAAATTCTTCCCCTACCCAGCACCCACTTCCCCCTGCCAACTTCACATGCTCTTTTCTGAAAATCTACTGGGCTCACTTTGTGATGCCCGCATGTGCATGGGTGCAGGACAGTCTGCTGCAGCATTGAGCTTCTCAGGGCTGGCATCATTTAGATAAAACTGACTTTCCCTGCCCCAGCAGCCGTTCACTGCCAATAGCTCCTCAGATAAGGGCGAGATTTCATGAATCCCTCCCCATACATGCATGCTGGGATTTTGGCCGGCATGGTCAGGGGCAAGACTTACATATGGAGCCATTGTGTGTTCATGTGTGCAATGGCCCTGTTGTGTCCAACAAATACACTTAGTCATCGTCTGTCTTGTTTGGTACATGCATACTAGTCCCATGCCGGAGTGAAGCTAGGGGATTACTGTGCCATCCCTGCCCTCCGAGAGGTGTATGTGGGCGCGAAGGTGACTCTCGGGTAACTGAGTTGAGAAGTGGTCTGCGACCCTCTGTCCTCTATTCTTTAAGGAAGCGCCACTCACTCCCATGCTTGGCCCATCCGTTCGCTCACCCATTTGCCACCCAGCCATTTGATTATGATATGCCGGGCTTGATAACATGCAAAGCAAATAAGCACACAGGTGACAAGGAGGAAAGGTGTTAAGGCTGGTGCGAAAATCAATTTCTAAGTTCTGTTCTCACTGGCTCAGCTGTCAGTTCTCCCCTAAAGTGTAGCAGAACCCACTGCGACAGAGGAGGCCACGTTTTCTCATCAAATTCCTTTGACCTTATCAAACACAGATCAATCACTTGCATGATCAGTACAGATCTTTAAAGCAATGCAACATTTTAGTATTTGCACTGTTAGAGTTAACCATAAAACATGCCCAGAATTCTGTATACCCAATTATACTACGTAAAATGAAATCTGTATTTGACACTTATAAAAGTCACTGTGCTAGCTACAAATCTCTCCATCAAACCTTTAACTAGCAGAGGACTTGTTAACAATGGGACAATTCAGAAGGATGCTGGGGTCTCTTAATGAAAGTGCAGAGCTGAAGGTGGAAGGAGGGATTGGTCTGTATCTGCTAAGTTTCCTGTAGGCAGTAAACACATCCAAACTTTTATACTAAGTTTACTGCAACACCTTTCTAAGGTAACCCTTAGATCTATGTTTTGCCACAAGACAGGAAAAAATTATATGTGGGTGAACAGTACAAAATTAAAAGCAATGACAATAGAAGATGAGAGGTGGCATCTTCCTGTGTACAATGTTACCGTGAGGCGGTTTGTGTTTTTTGCCACAAGTAAAAGGGAGATAAAAAGGAGAGGGCCCGACATAACCCCCATGAAAGAGGCTTGGGGGGATTAAGGAGCTTGTTCAAGGTCACAAAACACGACAGTACTAGAGCTGTGGCTTTTGTAAGTTCTGAGGCTGTGAAAGTGTGCCCCCCCCCCACAATGGCTCGCTCCCATTCCCGTGGAGACCTCAACAGCATTTGGAACCAAGAGCCATCTCATGCGTAACTAGAAATGTCCTCTTCATTCCGCTAAATGTGCTCTGCTTTTCTATTTATTCTGTGATAGATTTATCACCAAGAAAACACACCAGTCCCATCTCCTCACAGTAGGAAACCACGGCAGTGGGGAAGCAAATCTAGTCATTTTTCATGGGGATATTTTCAAAATTATGAATAGCTGCAATAGTCTCTTTGTATATTTCAAATCAAAGCAGGAGAGGGGAAGAAAAAGAGAAGAGTGTATATATATATATATATACTCTTTCTGGTTCATTTACGTTAAAGTATGTTCCAATGATCACAGAATTTAAAAATATCCTGCAAACTACAATTTACAAAAAAAAAAGCGCTCTGCTATGCAATCTTAGACGGTATTTACGGAAATAGACAATAGTTTGCTGAGAAACAAATAAAACAATGGGTGCCCCAAACCTGTGCCATGGAGGGAAATGAAGCCTTTACTCTCTAATCACGGAGGCTTGGGGCCTAAAGAAGTTACTCAACAAAGCCCCGCTTGTAAGTCCGTTCCCATGAGGCGATGCCATATGAGTCAGGATACAGGAGTAATGACTGTGGATGACGGAAAATTGCCGCGGTTCATGGAGGCAGCTAGGCAGAGAGAATGTTTAGGCTGCTGCAGGGGTTTGGAATTTGAGGTGCAATTAAGTCAGACCTCTGCCATTTGACCTCGGCCGCTCGCATGAGCCAGCCGCTACAAGATCACCGACATAATTGCAAAGAGCTAATTGTGAGCATATTTATCCTGTGAATGCCTGCCTTTTATGCCTCAATGTCAACCCCATGAAGGAATGTGTCTAGTTCCCTGGCACGGGACCTGGCCCACAGTGGCACTTGCTTAGTCTCCTCCTGACTCAGAGCACACTGCCATCTAGGGACTTTGTGGGTCAGAACTCAGTTGAGATCTTGAGTTTTCTACTTGCATATTATATTCTCACTTTGGGCAAGTCATTTAAATTCTAGGCACCCAGTTTCTTTACCTGTGAATTGGAGGAGTTAAAATTTTTACTCCACATGGTGGCCGTGGTTCAAACAAGATACTAGGTATTTTTAAAAGCCCCTAGCATGAAGCTGAACACGTAAGTGATTCTACAGTAGCAGACCTAATCAGCTTTGATTTTTGAGGTGGGAGTTAAGATACACTTGTGGATTTAATTTTTTGAGACAGGGTCTCGCTATGTAGCTTTGGCCGTCCTGGAACTCACAATCTAGACCAGGCTGGCCTCCGACTCTCAGAGATCTGCCTGCCTCTACCTCCCCAGTGCTGATATTAAAAGTGTGTGCTACCACACCTGGTACGATCATTCTGATGACCTCACGCAGCCGGCTGCAGGGTCACCAGACATCAATTTCTGATTTAGCAGAGCGGTGTTAAGGCTCTTAATACACTAATCTGCACTTTATATATCTGCAAAAGTGGAAAACAAAAGAGAAAAAAAATGGGCATCTTTGGGTGGCTGGGAGAACAATCACTTTCAGTTTCTAGCCCGAAGGATCAGTAGAAGCTGTGCTACTCCGAGTTTCCCAGTGTAGCTCCGCCCACCTCATTTCTGCTTCCATCTGGACCACCTGGACTGTGGGCAAGAGAAGGAACCTCATTTGATGGCACGGAGAACTCAGACAGGGAAATTATAAACAGCAAAGCAAACAGAAAGGAAAGAAAGACATCAGGGCTTTGGGCTGTTGTCTGCTTTACTTTGTTTTAGATAAAGGTCATGATGTAGCCTAGGCTGGTCTTGAACTTCCTATGTAGCCAAGGATGGCTTTCAACTTCTGACTGCCATTTGCCTACCTTCCAAGTGCTGGTGTTACTGGCTTGTACCACCATAGCCAGTTTTATGCTGTTCTGGGGACCAGAACCCAAGGATTCATAAAGGCTAGGCAAACAGTTTACCAACAGAGCCACACATCCCCACACAACCCATTTTCTAAAATATCTTTTCCTGTGGATTTTTTTTTTTTGCACTGAAGTGATAACATCTACTTCTTATGGTGAGTCTGGATTCCCGCACCTACAGACAAGCCAGGCCTGATGGCACACGCCTGTAGTCCCAGAACTGGGGAGGTGAAGACAGAAGGACACAGGTGTGCTGCTGGCCGAATGTGCTGAATGGGCTCTGGCTTCAGTGAGCAACTCTGTGACGAAATATAAGGTGGAGGCTGGAAAGGAGGACACTGGACGCACACATGCACACACACGCACACACGGACCTCAGGTCATCACCCGACCACACTCACTTCTATGCACACATGTGGGCACACACGCTCCCTCCTTCCCCTCCACACACAAGAGTTTCTTTTCTCTTAAGTTAGAAGAGTACAAGTTCAGCCGTGCAAATGCTCCTATTCACTATTTGGTCCGAGCCCATGATGTTAACTACAGTCATCCTTTGATTGTTTTTCAGAATGTTGTTCCCGTTAAGAAATCAGCGTTCTTGAGGGTATAAGAGCTCTTATAGATCACCTTAAAGAGACACTGAGAACAGTGGAAATGGGCCCAGGAGGCAAACAGCTAAAAAGAAAGAAGAGGAAAAAAAGACGTGTGTGTGTGGAGGGGGGGGGGGCGGTGTCCATTTACTAAAGAGGCCTTGGAAGCCACGCTGCCAGAGGATGGCTTTCCTCTTACCAGCAGGTTCTCCGGCTTGATGTCACGGTGGACGATATTCAGGCTGTGCAGGTATTTGATGGCACTGGCCAGGTTGTACAGCATCCCACTGGCATCTCGCTCTGTGTATTTGCTAGTGGAAGTGATGGCATCGAAAAGGTCTCCGCCCTGGAAGAGAGCAGCTGGCTGAGCCGGGTACTGACAGATGGACCAATAGGCTGCCCACGGAGGGGACTGACAAACCAGAAAGGAGATGAAGAACGGACTAGAATGTGGGGCGCTCCTAAGGGCTTTCTCGGCTTCTGCTTTGAGAAAGACTCTCTGGTGACTTCTCTTCCTGGTATGGGAGATAGAGACATTTTATCCTAAGCTTAAGGAAAAGCTGTGAGGAGACTCTCACACCAGATACGTGGCTGCCTCCGCAGCCCCTCTCCAGGGAAGAGGAGGTGGAACTGGGTTCCCTCTGAGAAGCCTCATGTTGGGGGATTCTGGTGACATGTACTACCTGCCACACACCAACTGCCAGCTGAAGTACAAATTCAGAGTCCTAAAACTCCCCCAGAAAGACAGGTAATTCTGCAAGCTATGTCCTTAACAGAATGTTCTTCTGCCTTTGAAATTATTAAGACACGTGCGAAACACACACTCTTTCTCTCTCTTGCTCTCTTTGACTTGCTAAATTTAGTTCTCTTGGAGTGGGCGGTGAGCTTTCTTTTTCAATAATGTGTTTCTCTGTAAGGAATGGAAAATGGGACCCACAGCCTGTTCTGAAGACAAGAAAGACAGGGAGAGAGGGAGGGCAAGACGGGAACACCAAAGACAGCTTCCTGGTTCTATTCTTCTGAGTCTTTGCTTCCCGTGGTCCTTTATACTTTATCAGCACTCAGTCAACCAATGATTTAGGCCTGATATTAAGCTGCACTTATCTGAAGTCCTTTCAGAGACTTTGGGTATGCTTTACTAAAAGTATTTACATCATGATAGGAGATGGACTACAAAACAGCTGACCCCAGGGCCCAAACACATTCAGATGTCTGTAACTCCGTAGCGAGCAACTTTATTTCCCCTTTAAACACAGCAAATAAATAAATAAGTAAACGAGACACAGCCCTGTAGGCTGTCAGGTTTCAGGTTTCACAAACTGTGCTGGTATCTGTGTCCCATGTGCAACCTGCCACCCTGGAATTCTCTCTCCCTGTTGGCCAAGCAATGGTTCTTCCACGAACAAACCTAAACAAATGTTTTCTCTCTCTGCTTCCTGTTTCTCTCAAAGACCCGGCTGTCACACAGATATGAAGTTTGTTTCTGAGCCACTGGCGGACGCGGGATGTTCTCTGTGGTCCAGCTGAACCCCTTACCCTTAGTTAGAGAGCAGGATATGTGTGGTTGTATGAGACAGCCTGCAAAAAGAATCAGGTGCTGTCCTGGTGCCCGAGGCTCCAGGCCTCAAGGCGGTTCTTTCTGGCGCAGACAGGATGCTTTCCCCCTAGTTGAGACATCTTAGTTTTGTAGACAGAATTCACGGAGGCTGTGCAGGTCAGGGAAGGGCTTGGCTGTACTCATCAGGCTGGCTTACAGTCGGCCATCGGACTGAGACCTGTCCCCAGATGCGTCATCAAACACCTCTATTTCTCATCCCCAAATTTCACTTGGTCTCACCCTCCCCACAAAAATCCACCTACAGGGAGCTGACTGGTAAAACTACAGTAATTCATCATATTTATAATAGTGCACAGCAGAGCAACAGGAGTGAGCTGAAGCTGTTGGTTTAAAGAACCGTGCTATGGTGACATTCTATTCTGTGAGCTGGAGACTATATAATCTACAAGGTAAGTAAAGTAGCGATTCGGTAATAAAATGTCTATAAAAATTGCAACACATAAAAGGACCTCTCTTTGGTCAAAGGACAATGTAACATTTTTACCACAATGTTGGCATGTTCTGGTCACCGCCCACCTCAAACATGACAATGGAAGAACATGCACCTTCACTAACTCCATGACAAGGTACAGCTCAGTGGGCACATCCATCTCTTCGATCAAGAGGACAATGTTGGGGTGCTTCACCCTCCTCAAGATAGACACCTCGTTCTGGATCATGTGCTCCTGTGCAAGGGAGAAGCCATTTTAATACACTCAAAATGTATGAGGAACCAACTCAAGACAGGACAACCACCTGAAGACAAGGGAGATGCATTTTGGGGAGACTCAACAGCATTCTGAAGACCCTAAAATAATCCAACTCAAGACACATCATGACGACTATAATTTTCTAGAAAATGACAGGATGAATCTTAGACAACAAATGTAAGGGGAGACAATAAAGCGAGCAGAGGGGAAAAATGAAATCAAATCTTCCTAACTACTTTTATTCCAGAATTATGTATAGGACTGAACGTCCCCCTAAGTTTGTGACATTCTGTTGCATCAGAAGGCATACTCTTGTGCTGCACCGGGTTAAAAAACCGGTTGGCATTTCTACCCTTGAACACAAACTTTACAAGAGTAAACCTGGTACGTACTTTGCCTCGACATTTGCTTTTCTTGATGATTTTCAGGGCATACTCCCGAGCAGTTGACCTGCAAAGAGAAAAGTTTTAAAGTACAACTTAATTTGGGATCAATTGAGTCCTTTCGTTGGGAGTTAATCTCTTGCTTTGTAGGTCTCAGCGTTTCTATTTTTGAAAGGGCTCTGTTCTTTCTGTACAAAGCAGTCTGCAGATGTTTGTGGGTTTACCCCAACTAAGGACAATGAATCTGTTAGCACAGACGGATCTGGAGTAACGCAGCCACGTTTAAACCGGAAACACGCCACTGTGGCTGTTTCAGCTCTGCTAAGTTGCTGTCCCTTCTCCTGGAAGTCACCAGCAAGGTTGCAAAGAACCCGTCTGTAATTGTCCTTTTGCCACTCTTTTAATTATCCACCACCCGGGCCACACACAGAGCCTCCCTAAATGCCTGGCCTCAAACCGATGATCCTCCTGCATCAGCAACTGGAGTGCTGGGAGTCGAAGTGTGATCTGTTGTGCCCAGTCAGTCTTTTTTGGGGTTCTCAATCCACAAGAGTGGCTACGACAGTCACCTGAACAGCTCTCAAGGTCACCCTGAACAAGCCTGAGAAGTGGAACACCCCCTAGATGTGTGGTTAGTGTCAGAGCCTGAGAGCAAACTGTGGGAGAAGCCATGATGAGGCCCAGAGAGGACAGAGAAGGAGGAAATACTTCTAGTGCTTTTCTGGTACCCACTGGGCCTTTCTGGTGGTCATTCTCAGGGCAAAACGGAAAGGATGGTTAAAATCAACTCACTTTCCCACGGCCACACGGCACGGGTAAAATCATGCTTCTCTGACCCTGAACTTTCCCTGTAGCTCAGCCACATCAGGGTGTGGGACAGAAGGATCAGCGGTGTTGTCACCTTTCAACAGTGCTAACATGGGCCAGTATTTCTAAGATCCTCTGGTACCAAACCCAAGGGCGTGGCTATTGTTAGAGAACACAACACACAGGAAATTCCGGTAAAGTACAACTTCTGAGGCAACAAGCCTTCATCCCTGGTACAGGCCGGCAGAGCTCAGCTTTTTACTTACAGATAGAAACCACCTGTCTGGATCCAAATGGTTGTGGTTGAAATGAGGCTGATAAAGGAGCAGTTCAGAAAAGGGAATTTCAAATTCTTCAGTATGGAATTTAATAGGATTCCCACTTACGTGCTTAGGGCAAAGGCACGACCTTTCTATAGACAAGCTAGGAGGCCAAGTGTTAAAAATATCTGTTTCATGGGCATTTTAGAAACTAGTTACATGTATTATTTCTAAAAAAAAATGCTTGTTACTGTTCTTTCAGGCCCCAGCTCAGAAAACACTCAATAAACATTACATTGTTATGATCAAATCTGGGGCATAAAGTCAGAAGGTGATGACTTTGAGGCCCCCTTTCTCTACTAGGAGTCTTTCATAACTATAGCTGCTGTGGAGTCTGGGAAGGTGGAGTTTTTAATTTATATGTAGGCAGACATCCCTGAGCTGATGACAGGGTTGTCTACCAGAAGGCCAGGATCTTACATTCTGTCCTAAGCCTACCATTGGGGGAAGAGGGAAGCAAGGATGGGTTTGGTGACCTCGGGGCTTATAAAAAACTATATGACACCTCTCTAGTTAGAAGATTTTATAACACACATCCTACTAAATTCACTCATACATCAGACCACACACACCACAAAGGACCACAAAGTTTAATGCTGCAACGATTCTTTCTTGACTTCTTAGAGGCAGAACTGCAGTCCTGTAATAATAACCCTTAATTACTACAAGCATGAGCTTATAGGAGCAGCTAGTCTTTAAAAATGAGCCCCAAGCTGGGATTCATGCAAAATGTAAACCATAAGTAGCAATACGAAGGCACAGTTTAGCCAAAATAATGAACCTGCTTTAAGGCTTGCTGATAACAGCACAGGCCATGCGCTTGTCTGTTCCTGCGTTCTTGTCCTTTCACGGGCTCTCTAGGCTGCACAAGAGCAGCAGTACCAGAGAATCCTGTCCTTCTCCTTGTCTAGGGCAATCAGTTGGTAAGGTCACCTCCCCATTAATACGGCCTAAGGCGGAAGCCCAAGTGCAAGCTTTACAAGATGAGAAATTCTGATTTCATGGAGTAGGCACTTTCTTCTTGGACTAAGACTGCTCCAAAAGATAGAACACATACCTGACATTTATCAGGGCTAAGGACATGTGACTAGACAGTAGCTACGGAAAAACCTGCTAATGAGACATAGTAAATTCTGCTAATGAGACATAGTATCACATTGACTCCTAATGGCTTCTCATGGTACCCACAGATTAGCACATATCTGAACCCTCATCTGAGAAGCCCCTTATTGCCACAGGGGATTGGCACCGAGACCCACAACTGGTCAAGATACTGAGAATGACTTCGGATGCTCAGCCTTAGGGCGTATCATATCACACCTTTCTCCCAAAGGTCAGGGAGCATTGTGGAAGAGGTGGAGGAAAGTCTGTAAGAGCCAGGGGCAGTGAATGTCTACAAGGAAACACGTATGCGCACTAGCTGAGACAGCGCTCACAAGACCTGCATGAGCTCATGCCAGACAAAATCCAAGCATGGAGGGGGGAGAGTGCAGGAAGCCCACCCCAGGAAGCCCAACTGAGGAGTTGTTGGTAACTGATAGCTGCGGGGAGGAGAGTTCCATTTCTTTAAGGGCATGGCTCCTGGTAGCTCTAACATGGTCCAGTGAATGCCTACTGTCTTAGATGACATTAGCGAGACACAATGGATTTAAAAACAAAATGAGGACATTACATTGGATGGGTGTGGAATGGGGGATGGATCTGGGTGGAGATAGGGAGATGGATGATTAAAAGACAAAGTATGAAATTCTCAAAGAGTTTATAAAGATAATAAAAACCCTTCATTGACTCAAATAGTAGTGCGTTAGCAAAGAATATGCTAGAAGGCCCACAGAAAAGAGGACCCATGTCACCCTGTTACTGTACCCACTGTAGAAAAATTGCCTGTGGTGGCATATTATGACAGAGGAGGAACATCTTTACCCATGTTGATACACATCCATCCCCCAAACACAGCAGAATGCACCCACAAGCAGTATGTGCCATCCACAACATTCTTAGCTTGTGTTTATTTTCTGGATCTCTGTAAAATATTAAAAGAATGTTTCATAATATCTCTGGAGAGAGAGGGCACCAGCCATATGTCCTTGCTCAGCAGGAGCTGGAGGCTGACACTTGAGGAGCAATCTGGTGTTTAGACTCTGAAGTTCCATGCAGTGAGCCCAAGATGTGAACTTGTACAAAATGAACACAAGACAAGTAGAAAGCAAGGAAGGAAGGAAGGAAGGAAGAAAGGAAGGAAGGAAGGAAGGAAGGAAGGAAGGAAGGAAGGAAGGGAGGGAGGGAAGGATGGAGGGAAAAAAAGGAAAGAAAGAAGGAAAAAAGGAAGGAAGAAAGGAAGGAAGGAAAGAAGGGACAGAGGGAGGGAGGAAGGAAAGAAGAAAGGAAGGAAAAAAAGAAGGAAGGAAGGAAGGATAAAAGGAAGGAAGGAAGGAAGGAAGGAAGGAAGAAGGGGAATTCTATATGGAGAAGTGGGAACTGTCTAGTATCAGAAGGCTGGGATCTTAGGACAGAGATACCATCCTGGTCCAGGACCAGCTAGAACAACCAGTAACCTGCCGCTGAGTGTTGACACATGATTAGAAAGCCCACAAGAAAGGCCACGACAATCTGCCAGAAAAAGAGACTTCCTGCTTAAAATACCTTTCGCTATTTAATTTCTGCCTTGTTGTGCATTGGAAAAGTGACTTGGGTATAGGTAAGTTCCTAACTGGACTCTTTTGGGGAATTCTTTATTAGAAGCAGTGGGGTAGACAGGCTTAAGTGTGTGTTTGGGAGCAAAACTGTGGTCTACATGTTTAGCAGATGACTGACCTTATATATTTAATGTCTTCCATCTATCTTTTTTTTATAATGTGGGAACAGCAATACTGACCTGATTGGATCATTACAATTCAATGAGATACTATAACTTAAGGGCCACAAATGGATAGATGTTTAGTAAATAGTGGTTGGTCTGGTTTAAGGAAGGGTGGAGGCCAAGGTGGTCCTGGAATGTTTTCTATATCTGGTAGGCAGGCAATTGAAGGCCATGTTCCATCAGTGGGGACCAGGGACTAAGGGAGAGGAGAGAGGTGAACTGACGGCATCAGCAGGGGACATTTCCAGGCCACCTGTTGCTCCTGACTCTACCTCCTGCAGAAGAAGTGCTGCAGCAGGCTGCTAGGCTGTGGACATCCCAGCCCAGCTGGATTACTGAGGGGAGTGAAATCTGAGAGCAACTGTTGAGGGCTGCTTAGTGGGGGCTTTGCTGTCTTGAACGAAAGGCATGCCAGGGTACAGCATCTCGGGGGATGCTGATTCAGCTAAATCCTGGTGATGTGTGGTACCCCTAGGCAGGCCTCCAGTTCTAAGTGGCTCAGACCCACGCTCTTCTGTGCTACAGCTTCCTCATCTGTCTCCTGGCCTGAGGAGTCCCCTCTAATCAATGATAAGACACAGGGCAGAGATACTTCTACAGGCTCCAGGAACTCAAGGACTGTCCAGCCCCCCAGAAGTAACGAAGGTGAACAGAGGAACACAGAGAACCAGAGGGATCCCTCAAGGGATGAGCTAAATGCCCTCAGCATAGCCCTGGGAAGATGCCAGTTGTCCAAAGCCTCAGAACAGAACTTGGAGTCTGATACTGAGCTGAGGTTTTTGAGGTCACTCTGTGCTGGCCGACAACGTCATTTCTCTACCTGGTATCCACCAGCTACACCCTTGAACAGTCATCAAGAGCCTGGGCATACACCAGGCATGAGAACATGCCTGTGATCCTAACAGTTGGAAGGCAGAGGCAGGAGGATGGTGACTTTGAGGATGGCTTGCAAAGACCTTGGCTCCAAACCCAAAGGGTGTACAGTTTTAATCCATCTGAAGACACTTTCGCAGATCGAGTACCACGTTTGCAGACTCAGCACACGAAGCCATTGTTGTGTGTAATCTCATGATGGTGTATATTAGAGGTCAAACTCTAGAAAAGAGCATTCTTGAGAAGATGTACGATGTACATGAGGAAATCTTCATAATAACTTCTCAAGAAAACAATATTAAAAAAACCACCTGACAGAACTGGAAAGCTTTTCAACATACACTATGTAAAATCGAAGTCTTTATATCTGAGAGAGCATCCTAGGGATTGTTATATTTTTAAAGTCTGTTTTTAGATGGCTTTTTGACTACTATTTTTTTAAATACCTTTTGTCTCTGGAGTTGAGACCTTAACTTAATCCATATGTGTCTCTGTCTGAAAATAGAGACTGGGCCATGGAAACCATGAAAGCCAAGCGGTTCCTTTAAGTTCCCACGTGAGCAGCCCCCCCCCCCCCCGCTTACCTCTCTACGCATTCCTTGACCACAGCGAAATTCCCATCTCCTATTGTTCTCCCAACTTTGTATCGCTCTGTTATTGTGGCAGGAATCTGGAAGCCTTCCTCCGACTCTTCTGAAAGAATTAGTGGTGTGTTTTTATTGATTGGGAAGGGGCCACAGATGTTGTATGAAAGATACACTCCTAAGCATCATCTCACGGGCTGGAACCAATTCAGAAGTAATTGTGGGCAGCCCCCCTCCCTTACAGGCTCATACAGACTCAACGGTCCTCACCAAGGCAAACGATAAATTAAAGAAAGCCTATCGGGCCCACCTGGAGCGATATCACTGCAGCTTATGTGTTCTGCTGCAGTGGGGATTCAGAGGAGGAAATCCCGCATTTCAAACTTCATGCTCATTTCATCAACGACCTTCACTGAATACCCATTGTGTGCAGGGAAATGACATTTTATGTACAGGGCAGAGGAGAAGGCATTTCTGGAGGAACGCTGAGCAGTCTGACATGGTACAAGTATGAAAAGGTCCTGCTGTTTGGACACCGAGCTTGATTCCATCCTGAAATGGATATCTCTGCAAAATTCCTTGTGCACTAAGTATCAATGAGCAGATTTTGGACAAATGTTCTCACCAAGCAACCTGCATGGCAGATGTCGAGTTTAAATCCTGATATCTATTATGTCTGCGGGCAGAACAGTTTTTGTAATAACACAACAGAGTCTCCCTCTGAAAATGTATTTTGAAACATTTTACAAATGCCTAATAAAGCTTTAAATATCCAAGGCTGTAAAATCAAATAAGCCATGCTTGGGTCACATAAATATGATGCATCACTTTTTAACATGTCGAGGGTATAAAAAGCCTTTTAAATCTGGGCTGTAAAATGTACATGCCTTAAAGTTATAAATCCCAGCTTTCTCCCAGGCAACCCGCGTGCAAAATGGCATAGGAGCCTAGCGAGCTTCCTCACGGTGCACTTCTCCTAGCCTGTCCTCATATACTGAGTCTCAAAGTAAATGTAGTTTCCCGGCAAGTTTTGTAGCTCACATTTCATGTGTGGGGCTGGGGAAGAATGGATGGAAATTCATTGAGTTCCTTTGTGCTGGCTTGCACACCTGGGGTGGCTTTTCTAGACAGTATGGTAGAAATGCAGGGCAGCTACCTCTTCTATGTCCCTGTGCATCTTCATGGCCTCCGTGCTGTGGATGGCACTTCCCTCCTGGGTCACTGGAAGTTACCTTGGCAGTGCCCAGAATAAAGTGAGGGCTGCAGCCAGTCAATGCCTCCTCCTTTGCCCCATCCAGGAAAGAATCAGGATTTTGCCTGTATCTGAAAGACCCATTCTGGGGGTTTTCATCTTCTCCTTGAGGAGGGGAGGAAATGGCTGTGGGCCAGCTGAATTTACAAACCTGGCAGATGATAGGGTCTTAGACTCTTTGTATCTGGGCAATACAGTAGTTGTCTGTGGACTTCGGGATAATTGTGATCCTACAGATGGGGTCACCTGTCCCAGTCTTCCAGTGGAAACATTCATTGGGACACCCATCCAAGATACAAAATTTGGGATTTTTCTACCAACTATTGATAAAGGATCCCGTCCCTCTAGACTCAGCCTAGGTTTAGTGAAGGACCATTCCATTGGGTGAATACGGCACACTGGAATGAAGGAGACTTCTAGATGGCTGAACTACAGTTTCAATAATGCAAAAACGCCTGCTCTAACCATGGTAAGAAACAAACGATTCCCTTGAGAGTCATGTGTCTGCTTAACGCCCCAGAGTCCCTCAAAGGGTGCATATTTGGGAAAACACCAAGTCGCATCATGGGAAGCACAGGAGTGGCAGGAGTGGCTCCATCTTGACTCTTACTTTTCCAGGTTATTTCCCCTCATTGACTTGAGCCTGGTTACAACCCCAGGAGGGTGGGAACGGTGACATTTAATAATCTATAAGAAACTGAAGAGGCTCGTTCCACACCATCCAGCCAGTTAACTCTGCAATGCAGGTCATTTTCTTACGTTACAGGCAAATTCTAATGCAAATTAGTTTAAGTGACAAGCAGTGGTGGCCAGCAATGGCTTCTTCCTGTAAAGTTCTGGTTTGATGGATTGAACCCCCTTAAAATGGAGCCTGCTTATAGGTGCTCAAACACAAGACACAGTTGTCTTTTTGCTTACAAAAAGGGATTAGAGATTGGGAGCACAAGGGCAGGCAAGAGCTGGTCTTCCTAGGCATTGCACACCCACAGAGGATGTGCAAGGACTCAGGCCAATTCCTCCTTCCCATTCTCAGACAGTGGGTGCTCATGACTGTAGGAGTCACCCACTCCTGTCCCCAATGACACCCTCCAACACACACACACAGACACACATACAGACACACACACACAGACACACACACAGAGACACACACATACACAACACACATGAGGTCATTCCCCCCCCCCACACACAAGCTTCTGGACTTTGGTTACTCATTGTGTTCTAGACATTATAGTTTTCAGAGTAAATTTAGCTAACCCTTCCTCCATCCCCCCTGCAAGCTGTGCTTTCTCTCGAGCGCATCACCTTCCCCAGGGCCGTCATTCTCATCCATCGAGCTGCAAACTTTTGTGGACGAAAGTGAAGTAGAGGAGCCGCCATGCTGAGAGATCTGTAAGGGAGCAGAAACAGAATAAAAAACCTGGGTCAGAGCACTAGAGCCTCCACACACCACACCCAGCCCGGGATCTCAGGAGCTAGTGTTGCCCCTCCCAGGGAGGAACTGGTCTTCAAACTTGGAAAAGGAGGTCTTAAGAATGGTCAATGAGGGCCATGAATCCCACCCTCCCTATTAGCCAGTGTTTGTGTTGACTAGGAATCACGGAAACCTGGATGCCCAGGACTTCGTTTCTCAAAGTTAGCATCCTTGAGCTCCAGTTTGCCAGATTTCAGACATCTCACTTCCATCTTCTGGTCTATGCTGAGCGGCTCAAACGTGGTGCCATTCTGGCCTTATTTCTATCTACTTTTACAATAACAAAAAAAAAAAAAACTCGTAAGTTAGTAATGGACTATTTGAAAAAAAAAGGGAATGACTCAGCTTTATCAAAACTTTAGAGGGAAGTAGAAGAGTAGGTTTGTGCCTCTCCCTTTGAGATAAAGACACAGTAAATAGGAGGCCAGCCTGGCATATGCTACGTTTGTCTGGGAGAAAGGCAAGGATGAAAAGCCTAGGCAGGAGAGTCTCCTGTAGCTTAGATGGATTCTGACTGAAGACCCATGAGAGCAAACAGGGTGCTGGCTGCATTAGAGGGAAAACCATCAATGTTACGGCTGGCTGGGAAGAGTATCTGGGAAGGGACGCTTCTGTCTCTGCCCCCTACTTCTCGAGAAAACAGTCTGCACACAGTTATGCTATTTCTAAATAGTGAACACAGCTCGTCCTAAAAGATCTTCCTTCTGTTCCCCTGGGTTTATCCACTTGGTTGGCCTGATGGGAGCAGGAGGCGGTGAGGGGGCGGCATTGGCTCATGGTGCTGGCTGTCTGTGGAGCAGAGAGAAGGGAGAGCGGCTGTAGTTGCATTGATCACGAAGTGGTGATGAGAAGCAAACTTGACCTAAATTTCCTCGGCTCACCCGTCTCCCATTCAACCTCCACCCCGTTCCCTCCAGCTACAGCTGAGCACAAAGAGGGCGGAGGAGTTGTTTGTGGCTCATACCCAATCGCCTCCTGCACAGAAATCCCAAATACCTGCTTCTTCATAAAACAGACTTATGTGGTTGGGGATATAACATCTAACCACTCCAGGGCCATCTGAGGCAAGCACCATAGGACATTTCCTGAGTGACAAAGGGACAAAGATGGATATAGCCCATTGGTGAGTTCATTGCTGTTGACAGTTGACAAGATTAGAATGAGAATTATACTAATAATGAAACTTCTGCTTCCTTGTGGGCATTTTAGAAGTTTTGATATTACTGTTGCATGCCCCCAAGTGTCATATGCATGAATAATGTACCCTGTGCTTCCCCGTATCACAAAAATCTTCCCCCAATAAGCCTGGTAGCCAGCTCGAGCTGTTTTGCCATCTTCTCTCAACTAGTCTCCTTTTGACTAGGACTATCATAGATTCAAAGATCCCGATTTTGAAATAGAATTTTTGCTTGTTTTTTTTTTAAGTATAACAGTACAGAATCACAACCCACCATGTTGAAGGCACAGAAAACGTGTCAGCTTCGAAGCCATACTCTACTGCCTCTCAAGAACACCTGTTTGTGAAAACTTTACACTTATAACAGCTGCATGGGAGGTGAAGACAAGGCAGATTCATTCTGCTGCTGACTAGAGAAAATACACATGAACAGGACCACACTGCAGGGGAAGATGAGCGTGCTCCAGAACAGCATGATGGTCTCCTGCATCATTCTAAGCGCAGTGATGATCCGGGCAGAGAAGCTCGAAATAAAAGGGATAGGCTGGAGAACATCTCTTCCGGGCTTTCTAACCCTTGGTCATCTTCTCTCAGCGTCACAAATGACGTTTCAGAATGTAGGTATGTCATGGTTTGAAGGTGGCCGATGACACCTCATCATGTTGTATTCCGTACTTAACAGCCCGATGACACTTTTTCATTAAGAACCCAAGTTAATAGACAATAGTTTGTTTGCTTGCAAAGACGTCCCAGTTGATATGCCCAGTTTAAAAAGCCATCAGGTGCTCTATACAGATCCTTGACCCGTCACCATGGTGACATCTCTTCGATATACTCATCCATAAACTTGCTGCATATTATTCAGCAAACCGCCTTACTGACTGATGAGCTGCATTGTCAGCAGAGCAGCAAGGGCCTGCTTCCATGAAGGCCTGCACAGCGTCAGCCGTGTTTGTTCTATTGCACGAACCAAAGTCCCCCAAGCTTTCTGAGCTCAGCTTGTTTTGCATTTTTTAAGAGTAGGGTCAATGCAAGTGCGCTGATGTCTATCATTGTGTTGGCTTTTTCAACTCTGAATTTGTGTTTCGAAAATGTAAGCCATGCCATTTCAAATTCCCTGCTGGTGGAGACTAGCAGGTAACTGGTGGTTTTAAAATAAAAGCTTAATTAGGTATAAAGAGGGTGCCCTGGTAATGGAAAGTTCTAGTTTTCTTTATTACACTCAAGTACAACAAATCTATTGACCTTCTAAGGGCATTATCTCTTCTGCCTCCAGAGAAGCAAGAAGCTGGACAGTACACACTCTTCAAAGGCGATGAGCCCTCATGGACCCAAAGAACTTCAGGAACCGGACTGGACCTTGAATGCAACCTTTCCTGCCATATTTCCACCCAGAGATCAGACTCCCCACTACAGACGGGTGCAACCAGCAGTCTGGACAATTTATGTCTATCATTCTTATTGCCCGTTTCTCGGGTTAACCAGTATGAGTGGAATCCATTTCCACAAGACATAACTTCAGGCTTTGGAAACAAACAGGACTCCCTCTGGGTCTCCTGGCTCCGTTTGCACATGCCCGTATTTTCCTGTTCATCACGTGATAAAAATCTGGGATTCTCCCCCGCTCCTGGAGGCCCACAGAGCTGTCAATCCTCTTTGAACCCGGGACTCAACACTGAAAGCAACCGTCTAAATGTGTTCTCACCAATACCGAACCTTCTTCCTCGTGAATAGAAAATTAACACACTTCAAGATCACCCTGGCTTCTCCTCAGAGCCACGTTGCAGCGTTTTACCAACCTCACAGGTGTACCCGTTTCCCTATTTGAGAGGTTGGCTTATGACTAAGCGCTGAGACTTTATGTTAAATGCCATTCTTGACGATATTCATTTATTTTATATTTTCTCCTAGACTGTTAATTTCTGGATACTGGTTTTGCCATCCCACCCACTACCCCCTCTTTTCCTCTCCCTCCCCCCACTCCTGGAATCAGCAAGGCTCTCTGTGGGAGCTGTTATGAACCTGCCTAGGTATACTAAGACACTTCATCTCTCCTGGAACATTATGATTTCATTTGCATGTCTGTCTTGGAAGCAGTCACAAGCACATAGAACGAGCTCTTTAGAAGTGACCTAATGAGATCAGCCAGTCCTTCATACTGACCGACAGACACAGAAGGGACCGGCTGCTTCTAAATAAAGTGGCTCTACCTACTTTGACGGGAAGTGGACAAATCACTGTAGAAGGTCCACGCTGGTGAGATTTTTATGTTGATTTTGGTTAGTTTGCTAATTCAGAGGCATCTGGGCCTATAGTACGAAACTCGTGGCTATTTCAGAATTGAACACAATTAGCTGCTCCGAGAGGTGCCGTGACATTTGAGATGTCATCGCCTCCCAGCGGAGTTAATGGGAACCATTTGGGCAGGTTGCTGACACCTAGAGGCTTTTACAGAACACCTCCATAAAAGCGCTGCCTTGCAAAGTAAGAACACACCCTGAGCACAATGATTTAGCCTGGAATCACATAACAGATGGGGACGGACGTTGAATACTTTTTGAAGTAAGTGAGAAAGCTGAGCTAGCAGCTCTAACCACATTTTACCAAGACGGATCTGACAACGATGCCGTCAAAGAAACAGTTCATTTTTAAATGTTATGAGTTACTTAGGCCATCTGTGTGAATGTTGTCACTCAGCCAGGGTCCACACTGCATCAAGACTTGGAAAATATCCAGTCGATACAATTGACTCAAGCGGTGTAGACAAATCTATCATATAACCCAGCTTCGACTGGATGATAGTACTTTCTCCAGATTCTACCTTGGCATGTAGTTCTGTTTTGTTGATGTGGAAAGGGGCTAAAAGGAACCAAGACACCAAATGCTCACCCGTGTTTGAGTTCTGAGTTAGCTTCATAAAGGAAACCTAAGAAACAAATGCTTCACAGACTAACCACTGTCTGAGAAATCTTGACGTTAGGTCTACAGAGAGTTTGGAGACAACCCAATATAGCAATGTGAAAAAAACAATGTTTGTGTGGGACCCTGAAGGCTGATAAGAACTTGTGTGCCATAGGAAAACCATGCTTTTATTTACTTCCCAAAAGCTTGGATAGCAGAAGGCTCATGGTACCTGCAGCGACTAACAGAGGTCTACTCTTTGAAACAAGGCAGGCTCTGTCTACGTTATTGATGGTGGGTTCATCCTAATGAAGCTCTAAGAAATACACAATCAAACTAATAACCAAGAATACATATGTGCCTATTTAAAAACTCAGAAAGATTCGGTCAAATTGTTTACAAGACCAGAAAATCATCACTCAGGAAACTGGGTTGTTGACCGGAGGAACACAGAACACGTGGGGATGATGATCTTGGACTCCATCTTTGCTAGAGGGACCCTGGGAGCTAAGGCTTCAAAAGTGAGAGGATTCGTTTACAGTACCATCCCTTGATGCATCCGGTAGTCGGTCTCCTTTGCCTCTGCTTCAGAACCGGAACACTCAGGCAAAGGTCTTCACACCTGCCATGCAAGCCGTTTGTCCAGAGCCCATCACACTGCGCAATTTAATCCCGTCATTTCACTTTCCAGACACCCACAGCTTGGCAGGGGCTAGCGATGTCAGCTGCTGTACCCCATGGGTGAGAGTCATCCCCCTAGGAGTTTTCTCCTCAAGTTTTCAGTCTTTAACGAGGAGAGCTCACAACTCTCTCAGGCACCTACTTCATTTAAATTTTA